GCTGACTCTCTGTAAACCGCTTAGAGAGGCCTGAAAGGCCTATGAAGCGGTATATAAGTCCACTGCTATATATATATTGCTATATAAAGCTGATAGCAGAGAAGAGGGCTCTTCTAAGGTCCTACCAACTCCCTTAAATATTGGGAGAGTCATTATAGATGTGTGATGTGTGTCTGTATGAATGCTGCTTCATGGGAATTTCTCTCTCTCTCTTTGCTTTTATAGGAAGGCTCCAAAGTATTGATGCTGTTGTTGGTTTTCCTCTTCCTGTCCTTTCCTACAAAGGGAATAATGCCTAAAATGAATGAGTTTATCAAACTGTCCCCATGGTGGTGCAGTAGTTAGAATGCAGTACTGCAGGCTAATTCTGCTGACTGCTGACTGCCAGCAATTCGAGTCTCACTGGCTCAAGGTTGACTCAGACTTCCATCCTTCCAAGGTGGGTAAAATGAGGACCTCAATTGTTGGGGGCATTGTGCTGACTCTGTAATCCACTTAGAGAGGGCTGTAAAGCACTGTGAAATGGTATATAAGTCTAAGTGTTATTGCTATTGCTCTAAGCTCATTGCTGTTTTCCTATACAATTGAGCCACATATCAAATTCTCATAGACAATTAAGACTTTTCCTTTCTTTTTTTCCTTAGCAGCAACAAATATTCTTTAGGATGCCTTGCCTCCAAACTGCCAACTACACAGTATCTGGTCAGCAGGTTTATTATTAAAATACAATTTTAATTAACATACAAGCTTCAAGCTTCTTAGCTCCCCAGCCCAGAGAAGGCTAGCCATGTTGTTCTTGTTGCAAAGAGTCAATCTCTCCCACCCTACTGCGATATGAGAGTTTTGCCAAAAGAATAATGGTGGTGATAGCCAAGAATTGGAGAGAAGCTCTGGGCAAAGGGGCTGCATTGAAAAGAGTCCAAGAAGGAGACACGTACACAGTATAATGTCTTGTCAAGAAAGCAGTTATTAGTAGATATTGGAAAGAATGAGATCAAAGGATGGCTGAACAATACAGTAAAAGAACTGTCTGAAAAAATAATAAAAGAAAAAGGATCAGATTAACAGATTAACAGATGAAATAGGGTTGGACAGGACCTTGTAGGTCATCTAGTCCAAACCCCACCCAAGCAGGAGACCCTGCACCATTTATGGTAGTCCAATTTCTTCCTGAAAGCCTCTTGATTATATCCCTTTGTTAATGTAATTTAGCATTGCATTGGCTTTTTTGGCTGCCACTGGACACTTTTGGCACATATTGAATTGGTTGTCCACTAAGAATCCAAGATCCCCACTACAGTCACTGATATTCACCTGTTTACTGGATCCGTGTCCCTCCTGGCTGGTTTCGACCAGCAGAGAGGTAACACAAGGCTGGCTCCAGAGAATTACGAACGCTTCCTTGCGGGAGGGATCTTTTCCACAGCCTCTGAAAGTGGCAGTGGTAAGACCCCTCCTCAAGAAGCCTTCTCTGGACCCAGCTATTCTTAAAAACTATCGTCCAGTCTCCAACCTCCCTTTTTTAGGGAAGGTTGTTGAGAAAGTGGTGGCCCTTCAACTCCGATGGACCTTGGATGGAGCAGATTACCTAGACCCTTTTCAGTCTGGTTTCAGGCCTGGATACTGCACGGAAACCGCCTTGGTCGCACTGACCGATGATCTCTGGTGGGCATTCCTCTATCCTAGTGCTCCTTGACCTCTCAGCGGCCTTCGATACCATCGACCATGGTATCCTTCTGCGACGGCTGGAGGAGGTGGGAGTGAGAGGCACCGTTCTACGGTGGTTCTCATCTTGCCTCTCCGACAGGTCACAGTCGGTGTTGGTTGGGGGGCAGAGGTCGACTCCTAGGCCCCTTAATTATGGGGTGCCGCAGGGGTCGGTCTT